TCCCACCTTAAGGCTTTTGTACTCCAATTGTTTGCCTTGGGAAACTCTTCACATAGATCAGGGTTTCCCAATCTGGACACTGATATTTTGGGCCATGCAATTCTTTTTCTGGATATCTGCATTTAGTGTCTCTGGCTATGTGCTGGTACTACTCCCCACCTAGTTATATCACCCCAAAAATGTCTCCAGACATTGCCAAATTTCCCCTGATGGAGCAAAATCATCCCCAACTGAGAACTACATCAAATGGCTGGCTCTCTTCTTTAATCCATTCAGCAAATATCCACAGAGTTCCTCTTATGTGCCTCACACCCATTTAAGTGCTGGAGTGCTACACTGTACAAACAAGCTAGACAAGAATGTCTGCTTAATAGACTTTGCATTTAAAGAAAGAGATAACCAATCAATAAATCAATCAAATTCAGATCCAACTGGATAGCAGAATTTGTTGAATGAACTGAAAAATATAGTGAATAAATAGACTAACGGGAGAGAGTCTAAATTTACAGCGAATGCTTCTTTCAGTGGAGCTCTTATCCAACAAGAGAGAAAGGCAGAACCCCCTCGGATTTATTACTTAGGATCTGATTCTTATCCCCAGGCTGCTTGTTTTCAAATGGTCTAATGTTATTTAAACAGAATTATCTCTTCCAGGCTACATACTGAATCAACAATCTCTTTTTATCTCAGAATGTTATGTCACCTAAGAGGGGATCTACTTTAATCCACATGTTCAATCCACATAGGACGTCTTTAGTTTGCAAGACCTGAAAGGCCATAGTATTGCTGAATGGATTATTTCCTCGAATCCATTACTGGCATTATAGAGCTATTTGGTTTTTGCCTTTATGTCCCAACTTCTAGAAAGAACAAAATTGTAGCTTTCAAAAAGAGCCATTTTTTTTTTCCTGTACTAACTTCAGTTGGCATTTTCTTTAACACCAGATACCACACTTTGCCTGCCTAGATGAATGCCTTTTGAGTAGGGTGAGAAAGGTCCACCAGGGACACCAATGAGAAAGAAACCAGGTTCTAAAGAATTCTTGAAAGAAGGCAGGTGGAGAAACCGATCTGGGCATTTCTGAGTGGTCTAGCCAGAAAACCTCTCAAACAATGCCCCTCTTTTAAAAACCTCACCAAGATAGAGATGCTATTTGATAGAATTTTACATGCAGATATTTTTGTTATAATTCTAAAAATAAATTTAAGTCAATAAAATACAAAAGTTGCAATGGTTTGACTGAGAACAAATGATCTGTTCAGAATAATCAGAGCCACCATGGGTCCCTGATACTGTCCTCAGGTGAAGTGCCAATGCAGTGACCTTCAGTGTAATGGAATGTCACGCTAGCTGAAACAGTGTGTGACTCAACTGGTTGCCAACTGGGATGCAGGCACTGTGTTTTCCCCTTTCCAATAACTACAAGGCTATAAAAGGTATTGCTTTATCCTTCACAGAAACTTTATTCAGTGCCTTTGCTTTCAATAAGGGCGAAAAACTCTATAAATAGTCCACTTACACCATATGGCTGATTTGAGAAGAAGAAATAAATAATTTCTTTAGGTAGCTAATCAGTTTATTACATGGATGGACTGCTTGCTGTCTGCAGAGCATTTTAGGCAAACTGTTTTGTTCTGCAAAACTGGATCAAGAGTCGCTTTGTGTGTGTGTGGTGTGTATGTGTGTGTGTGTGTGTGTGGTTTGTGTGTGGTGTGTGCGTGTGTGTGTGTGTGGTGTGTGTGTGTGTGTGTGTGTGTGTGTGTGTGTGTGTGTTCGCGCGCATGCGCACGCACTCACACGCGCGTGTTGGAGGATAGCTTCTAATGTGACTTTAACATCTAATTACTTCACATTTCCAGAGTACCAGACCATAAAATGGTGTAAATTCACACAGGCAAAATAATCTAACCTGGAAAATAATTTTATGCTTTTAAAAGTGGTGACCTTTACTGTCTCGCATTGTTTCTTAAAAAGTGAGACTGACTTTAAACAGGTAGGAAAATAATTGATACCTAAACTATCCAAACCAAAGATTATATATTTTTCCTACTTTTAAAAGTTTATCATTTTTGCGCTGGCTTGTGTTGCTCAGTGATTATAGCATTGGCCCATGCACTGACGGGTCAGGGGCTCAATTCCCCAGTCAAGGACATGTACCTGGGTTGCAGGTTTAATTCTCAGCAGGGATGGTAACCACATGGGAGGCAACCAATCGATGTGTCTGTCTCACATTCCTCTTTCTCTCTTTCTCCCTGTCCCTTCTACTCTCTCTAAAAATCAATGGGAAAAATAGCCTCGGGTGAGGATTAACAATAAAAAAGTTTATCATTTTTACTCTTTTGAAAGTAAAAAACACTTCTTTGAACTTCGCCAAGCTATTATTTTATTCTCTGTCTACATGCCCTGGAAGTAATTCACTCACAACAACTGTGAAGCCAGCACTTAGGAACTGAGCTCAGACCTCACTTGGCTGTAGTCTTAGATATTCAGAATAGGTGCTTGCTGATGTGCGCGCGCGCACACACACACACACACACACACACACACACTCACAATTTTCCTGGAACCAATTAGGAGACTTGACTTGGGGTGGTGAACACACATTACAGATGATGTGTAGTAGAGTTGTGCACCTGAAACCTGTATAATTTTGTTAACCATGGTCACCCCAATAAATTCAATGGGAAATAAAATAAAAGTTAAATGAAAACTGATCTGATTAAATAGAGGAGAAAAGTTTCAATCTACAAGAAGACTCGGTAAATATTGCAGGGGCTATACAAATAATAATATGTGCAAAACTTCTCTTCAAATAATTATTCTAAGGTATCATTAGGAAATCATCTAATAATGGAATAAAGGTCACACTCATCTTTCCCTACCCTGACCAAAACAGTGTACACAGTGTATGACTCCATGAGACTTACACCTTTATTTGCCTCATTAAAAAAAAAAAAAAAAAAAAAAAAAAAAAAGCTGCCAAACAACTAAGCCATTGTTCTTGTCTAACTTCTGAGGCGGCATGAAAACCACATTCCTGGGCACCACATAATCATCAGTCTGACCCCCCAAGAACCATTAAGTCAAATTTATTTACCCCCAGAGGGCAACACACTATTGTATCCTCTCCACTTTCTAGCCACCTAGGAACAATGGGGAGTCATTGCAACTGTCACGGGCAGTCAGCAGGAAAGGCAACCCAGCGCAGTTTCCCCAGTCTTCTGCCCAACCTGATCCAGCACCTAATCACATGCCCCGACAGAAGAAAGATCTACGGCTGCTTTTAAAACGCATCAGAAAACAGCTTTTTGAACAGAACCAGAGGACAATAACCAAACTTGCGCTCCGAATGCAAAGCTTAAAAAACTCAAAATTAAAGACAGAAACTCCTTTTGTGAGTGCACCACAGCTCCCTGAACGAACCCAGAGGCAAGCCTGAAAGGACTGCTGAGCGTCCTCCCCCTGAGCTTCTCATCACTGCTGTGGCTGCTTTTAAGTCTGACTTGTGAGGAAAACAAGGGAGGGAAGCATGTTTGTCCTCCAATGGAACACAATCACAAGGTTTGGGACCCGAGGGCTTCTCTGTGCTATTCTCAGTGATTACCTGGGTCAGAGGAGAATAAAGAACCTGGCAGAATAACAAGTCCTTTATCTCAGGCGCAAATGGGTTAAAATGCAACAAAGTAATATAAAGGCTATGCTGCCTCAGAAAAAGACACTATTTTGTTCTCTTTAAACTTTGTTTTGAGCTCTTTAAGGTATGTTATTATTTGTTTAAATCAGATTCCATGATAAATTTTGTTGCTTAGCACCCATTCATTTTCTCGTCACCCATGCGCACCTAGTCATAACCTGAATATACCTAAACTCCAAGTATATGATGAAAAGTGAAATACTCAAAGATTTTCTGGAAGTTTCAAGTTACTGAGATGTTAGTGGCTTGTGGGTCAAACATTTGAGAAGACTGATCTAAGCTTCGCCTTCCTCCTGAGCCTTAAGAGAGACAATGGCCTCTCATTAGAAGAACACATGTGCATGAGCACATTTTCAAAAAGTTGTTTATGCCCAAATTTCTATATGCATATTAATGTACGTAGATATTCAGTCCCCATAACAAGGTACACATTGTAGTATATAACCATATTTTAATATTGATGAATAAGTACTTTTTTCGAAAAAAATTATCCTTTAGAACTCAGAACCAAAAGTGTCCTATTAGCAACAAACAGAAAGCCATAGATTGCATACTATGATCTGAGAAAACACCCTTTTAAATTAATTTGAAAGGATCATGTAACCATAGTTTTATATAAACTTTAATCTTCTCCCCTTGTTATTAGTATAAGTTTATTAAGATATGAATATTCAGCCTGGCCGGTGTGGCTCAGTGGTTGAGCATCGACACATGAACAAGGAGGTCACGGGTTCAATCCCCAGTCAGGGCACATGCCTGGGTTGTGGGCTCAGTTCCCAGTAGGGGGTATACAGGAGGCAGACAATTAATGTTTCTCTCTCATAGATGTTTTCATCTCTCTATCCCTCTCCTTCCCTCGCGCTATCTAAAAATTCAATTAAAAATAGATATGAATATTCAGTATTATCTGAAGCCCATTTAGGATTTTTCTCTTAGTTGTATGTAATTTATGACTCAAAAAAAAAAGACCACACAAAACACCAAAACATTGCCCTTATTAGTACAAAGCAACTTTCTTTTAAATTTTCTCCATTAATCATTCCGGTTTCAAATGTAGATTATGTACATCCATACTTCTAATATGTAGAATATATGAAATCACCTCAAAATGTGCAGCTTTTAACTCTGCTTTAGATATTCTTATTTAAGAAGTAAATCACATATCTTTTAATGATGAAAACCAAAGCCTTCTAAAGATACAGCAAGGTTATTTTAGTAAAACAACACACCACTTATCCCATAAGTTACAAAGAGAACATAAGAACCCTGATATATTTTGGATCTAAATAATTGCAAACATATTACCTTTTATTTCACCAAAGTTCCCTGATCCCATTGCAAGAAGCTTGTCTTTCCAGTCCTTTGATAGTAGCTTTTCAATACTGGGGGTTTCTAAGTAGAGAAGAAAAAAATATATAAGCAAATCAACATGACTATCTTTACAATGGAGCTCATTAAAAGCCTATCTGCTAAAAATAAGGCCGTCCCTATCCCAGCCCCAGTTCATAATGACTTCATCAACAAAATGATAACAGGGGAAGAAAAAAAGAATGTGTTTTGTCACCTGCTGTTTCAAAATCATTAGCTTTTTCTCTTGCAGAACAAAGCCCTTCTAATTCTTTATGACAATGGGTAAATATAAACCTGCAGTTCATTGTTTTTCAATTTGGTGGATAAATTCCTGCTATAATGGGTGCTTGTCAATTTTAGGGTGTTAGTCTGCAGTCAAAAAAATAATTATGTTGATAAAATGCAGAGTAAAAAAAGGCAAAGAATTAGCTCTTAAATCTGCTACATGTAATTATATCCCTCTGTGTGTTTACAATTACATCCACTTTATAATATGTGTTTAACATCGTGTGGTGGTAAGCACACTGTGGAAAGATTTGCTGCGAACATTAAAAAAAAAGTTGGTACAAAGGAAGCTTTACAAAGATTGCAAAATCTAGAGAAGTGAGTAATGCCTTTCATGGACACTTATTATTCACTTATTTCAGATTGGTGTCATACTCGTTTTAAAATGCCCTGTATTGGGACAGGGCACACATATTTTAGAGAGAAAAGTTATGCTTCCCTCTGGTATTTGTTTCTATATACCGCATGGTTTTGACCTCTCCTTTGTGTCTGGATTTTAATGCATAAGTAAATATAAATGCTAATAAAGTCCCCAAACATGAAACTCCATTCCAAACAATGTAAATGTATGTTCTTGTCAGCATTTAGATGGGTACACAATGACAATGGCTTTCAATCCCGCGATTAGCACTGCATTCAGTTAGAAAATGGAGTGTACTGAAAGATAAGTGTCCCAGTATGTGCCATCTAAATAACAATATCCACACTTATTATCTAGATCTAAGATGTACACTGCCATTCTCCCCATTGGTGTGTATGTGTATTTGTGTTTGTGCAGACAGTTGTCTACCCCCTACTAGCAGCATAAAGGGAGTACAGGTTAACTTATCAAAGGGACCATCTGGCCTAGAGACCATAAGATTATTAGAAACTGGTTAATTTTCCCCACATCAAATGCATTTTAAGGTACGTTCATCCTCCTCTTTAGCTAATGCTACCTACTTTTTTAAAGGCCGTGATCTTATAGCCCTCAGCTGTATCACAAAGCCTGTGTAGAGATTTCTTTTTTAAAAAAATACTTTTATTGTTTTCAGAGAGGAAGGGGGAGGGAGAAAGAGATAGAAACATGGAACACCAATGATGAGAGAGCAACATTGATTGGCCGCCTCCTGCATGCCCCACACAGGGAATCTAGCCTACAACCCGGGCACATGCCCTGATCAGGAATTGAACTGTGACCTTCTGGTTCATAGGTCAACGCTCAACCATTGAGTCATGCCACCAGGCTTGTGTGGAGTTTTCAACCAAGTGAAGGTGAAATTTTCTTTGGGATAACTGTAACAATCTGGAATGCTTTGTTTTCAGATGTCAAAAAGTTGTGAAAAGTAAAATGGTGAAAAATGTGTGAAGTATTACTGCTTTTTGTAGTCTGTATGTATGGTGAAAATGATATACATGTATACACATATATTATATGTCAAAACTATTCTGTGCATATTTACCTATAGAATGTGTGAAAGTACTTATTTTCCTTTGTAACAAAAGATATTTCCATTTTTTTCACATTTAAGAAAAAGATCCTAAAGAATTTACTTTTTCTTAAAATACCCTTTTTATGAAGTGGTAATGACAATTATATGAGCAATAAAATGGATGAAATGTGCTCTTACTGTATTCAATATTTCTGCTTATTGAGGCTTGAAAGGTAACTTTAAATACTTCTGCAAAGATTTCCTCTGTTTCTCTATTCCCAGTAAACACTTCATGAGTGAAATTATTTGTTAAACCTTATCAGAGTAGGTCAAACAAACACCACTGTTTCTTTTTTCTAGCACTCCACAAAAATTCTTGAGAAGCATGTAAACAGGGCACAGCCAATATGGTATTTGCAATAGAGTACTGTCAGTCATTAAAAGCTAACAAACCTTTGCAAAGCAGGAATGCAGCAATAGAAATCCATTGTGCACTAACAATAGGCTCCTGAACCTCCCGGCACCAAAAGCAGACCATTTTACTTTTAAGGCTATTGTCTGCAAAGTCCATGACAAAGCTTTTCCCCTGCAGCTAGACAAAATATTCACTGTAGTGTGCTCATAAAGAAACAGAAGTCTTCTGTCTAAGTTGCAGAGTTAAAGAAACAGCCACCAGATTTCTGAAACCTGCAGAACATTCCTGGCCTCTTTATTAACTTGCATAAAGATATGTCTCATATATAGAGCCACTTTATTTTCAAGTACCTAACTTTTAAGGTAGACTACAGAAAAATGAATAACTTCTTTAAGGCCAAGTAATTTGAAAGATGCAAAATCAGAAACACATCTAACTCCTGTCTGTCACATCTGTGGCTGAATAATGACACTCATATTTGCAAATGGATGGGATATATACTTTAAATTCAGTATAAATTTAAATAAACAATTATTGAGCAGCCTATGTGCCAGGAACTATGCCAGATGCTTTTACCTCTATTCTCTCATTTAATCATAGCAAATACATGAAGACTCAGGTTGTGTTATTATATCCATTTTACAGATTTAAAAAAGAAAATGACTTGTCTGAGGTTTCACAAAATGTAAAGGGCAGAATTGAGTCTTGAACTAAGTTTTGTTTTGTTTTTCCCTATAAATTTCTACCTTGCTTGTCAACAACTAAATCGTGAAGACAGCCACTGTATTGAGGGCCAAAAGCTAAGTCATGTATATCAGGTCCTTTGCATAGGGTATTTTAAACTTCTCACACTAATCTTCTGAATTAGGCTTTGGTACATCTATTTTATGATCTAAGAAGCCAAAGTTTAGGGAACTATCACTACCTGCCCAATATGGAGTTAGTTCAACCTCAAAGTCTTATTAGCTCTTCCTATTACAAACGCATTACTTCATTTCACCTGCAAAACAAGTGTGAATAGGATGGAAAACTATTGTAATTGTGGGAATATGAAGGGAGTCTCCCCAGAATGCACCACCCTGGCCAGCAGATTATTTCCAGCTGAAAACAGTGAAAGCCTAACAAACTCAAGAGATGTCTTTTTTTCTGTTCTTTTCTTTTCTTTTTTAGAGAGAGAGAAAGGGAGAAGGAGAGAGAGAAACATCAATGATGAGAGAGAATCACTGATTGGCTGCCTCCTGCATGCACCACACTGAGGATGGGGCCCACAATCCAGGCATGTGCCCTGGCCTGGAATCCAACTGGTGACCTCTTGTCTCATGGGTTGACATTAGCAGGGCAAGAGTCGTTGTTTTTTATTGTGTGTGTGTGTGTGTGTGTGTGTGTGTGTGTGTGTGTGTGTGTGTGTGTGTTGTTTGTGTGTGTGTTTTTTTGTTTTGTTTTTTTGGTGTGTGTGTGTTGTTTTTGTTTTGTTTACTCCCCTTTACCTGCCTAAAAGATTTCGATAGAAAACCTGCTACAAGAAGGGCACTCAAGCATGGTCATCTCAACACGTATGATAAGTGTGGCAGATGTGGAGGATTCAAGCAAAAATCTGTTCACTAGATTCCCCTTTGTCTCTAGGTGGCCTTGCAAGAATTTGTTTTTACCAAATGTTTGTTCTTTCTCATCTACTGGTACCTGTGAATTGCTTACCTCCCTCTCCTTTGTCCAAAATGACATTTTGCCTCACTGCCCTTGGAATTTTCATGCTATGTGAATTCCCCATGCATACATATTAAAACTTTATTTTCTTCTGTTAATCTGCTGTATGTCATTTGAATTACTCAACCATCCAGAAGAACTAGAGGGGTGCAGGGAAAATTTCCTGCCCCAACATTATTAACTCCATTGGATGGATGAAGTAAAAACTTGAAAGGATAAACTGAATTCCCTGGATGACATGTATCTATAAGCACTATGGTGGGATTAAAAGCCTATATTTCCTACAGTTCTCTTATGTTCTCAATACAGCCCCACAGAATGACTTTGAACTCTAAAATTCCGGACAATTTAAGGAACACCTATGACCATTTGGTAGAGATATACAAAAAAGTGAAAACTTTCACTGTATTCATACAGTGAAAGACTATTAGGCTAGGCTATAAGTCAAACAATTTGGGTTCTCACCAAGACTTAGGCACTGGCTAGCTCAGAGGGACCAAAAGCACATCAATGTACCCACTTTGCCTCTCTATCTGAATTGCCGTGAATCACAGAGCTTAAAACAAACAAATCTAGTATTCTACCAACTACAACTCTTTCAATTTGTTTCCAGTGGTAGTTCATGAAAGGGTGGTAAGAAATGATCTCACAATAATAAGCACAATGGGTGGACATGTACAGATGACTGAAATTTCTCTAAAAAATGGTAAAATGGTAAAGATTCTATAGAATATTCATAATGAGAAATGTAAAAGACCAAATGGCAACATCCCAATATTTATAATACACCTGTTCATTAATGTGTGAATACGAGAAAAGTGAAAGTTGACACAATTTGAAAAATTTATTATGTAAGTGCTGCTGCTTCCGTGTTTTTGGAGTAAAAGAGATAGTATTAAATATTCCATTTCTGAAATGCAATGTATTTTTAAAAATATATATTGAACTGTGTTTTATACGATGAGTGAGGAATGTTTGTGTGCTTAATTATTTCCAAATGTTCAAATTCTGGATTTCCAATTATTTTCATGTTAACATAGATCATAATTTTAATGCAAAAATTTAAAGATTTTCCTGGGATTTACTTCTCCCAAGCATTGGGCTATCACAGTTGATTTGAAAATAAAAACGAGGGCTCCCTATTTTAAAATAAGTGTGAGGACTAATACTTAGCATTATTTACATGACATTTCATTTGCATACTGGTGTCAGATGCAAACAAAATT